ACTCACCTCAGCCTCCCAAAGGCACGGGATTACAGGCTGAGCCACCGAGCCTGGCTGTGTTTAACTTTTTAAGAAACTGCCAAACTGCTTTCTAAAGTAGCTGTATCATTTTAAATACCCATCAGCAGTGTATAGGAATTTCAGTTTCTCTGTATCTTCGCCAACCTTTGTTATGATTGGCTTTTCCCTTTTAACTGTTGTAACAGGATGTAAGTATTTCATTATGGTCTTAATTGGCATTTCCTAATGATGAATGATGCTCAATATTTTCTTGTGTGCTTATTTGCCATCTGTATAACTTATTTATCGAAATGTCTGTTCAAATATTTTGCCTGTTTTAAAAAATAAAGTATTTGTATTCTTGTTATTGCATTTTATATATTCTTGGATACCAGCTCTTTACAGATGTATGATTTGCAAAAATTTTCCCGGTCAGTGACCTGGCTTTTCATTCTCTCAAATGACTTCCAAAGAGCAAAATTTTTAAATTTTGATATGGTTCAGTCTATCATTTAAAAAATGGATCTAGCTTTTGGTGTCACAGCTAAGAAATCTTTACCTAACCTAAGGACTTTACAAAGACTTTTCTCCTGTGTTTTCTTCTAGAACTTTTATATAGGCCTTGGGTTTGACACTTAGGCTTAAGATCCATTTTGAGTTGATTTTTGTACATGATATGAGGTATGGATTGAAGAGTTTGTTGTTTGTTTATTGTTCTGTTTTGCATTTAGATATCCAATTATTCTAGCTCCATTTGTTGAAAAGACTCTTTTTCCCCTCAATTAAATTGTCTTTGCATCTGAGTCAAAATTAGTTGTTCGTATATGTGTAAGTCTATTTCTGGACTATATTCTGTTCCCATTGATCTATTTATTTATTTTGGAGTTGGAGTCTCACCCTTGTTGCCCAGGCTGGAGTGCAGTAGCACTCTCACAGCCACTGCAGCCTCAACCTGCTGTGCTTAGGCAATCCTTCCACCTCAGCCTTCCAGTAGCTGAACTACAAGATGCATGCCGCCACACCCAGCTAGTTTTTGTGATTTCATTGTAGAGATGAAGTCTCACCAAGTTGCCCAGGCTGGTCTTGAACCCCTGGGGCTCAGGCAATCCTCTTGCCTCAGCCTCCCAAAGTGCTGGGTTTACAGGCTAAGCCACCATGCCTGACCTATCTCTCTCTCTCTCTCTCTCTCTCTCATTTTAAAAAGAGAATATAAAACATAAACTCAGAATTTGCTGAATATAAAATTCTGTGTTCTCCGACTCAAAAAAATTATGTCGACAAGTTTTTTTCTATCAGTATTTTAAAGATACTGCTCTACATATTTTCACTTGTTTTTGATGAAAAATATGATGTCATCTCCATATTTATCTATACATGATATGTCTTTTTTCTCTGTATGCTTTTAAGATTTTCTCTTTATTTACTTTTTAGAAATTTGATTATGATGTACTTTTATATTAGTCAGGGTTCTCCAGAGAAACAAAACCAACATGATTAGATCTGTCTATAGAGAGAAAGATTTGTTATGAGAAATTGACTCACATGATTGATTATAGCAGTTGATCTGCCGTCTGCAAGCTGGAGATTGAGGAAAGATGGTGGTTGTAGTTCAGCTCAATACCAAAGACCTGAGAACCAAGGAAACCTATGGTATGCGTTTCAGTACAAGTGCAAGATAAGACTGATGTTCCCACTCAAACTATCAGGCAGAGAGCAAATTCATCCCTTCTCCTTCGTTTCCTTTGAGGACTGCAAATACTTGTATATTAGGCCGTATAAAGGTAACTCACAGCTCCATGCTGCGTTTTTCTTTCTTTTAAAGCTGGACATGGTGGCTCACAACTATAATCTTAGCACTTTGGGAGGCAGAGGCAAGTGGATTGTCTGAGCCCATGGATTCGAGACCAGCCTGGGCAACATGGTGAGACTTCATCTCTAGAATAAATGTTTAAAAAATTAGTTGGGTGTGATGGCGGGTGCCTGTAGTTCCAGCTACTTGGAAGGCTGAGGCAGAAGGATCGCCTGAGTCCAGCAGGTAGAGGCTGCGGTGGCTGTGAGTGTGCCACTGCACTCCAGCCTGGGCAACAGAGTGAGATTCTAACTAAGAAAAAAAAAATTAATTGAAAAAAATCTTTGCTTTGTTTTATTTTGGATAGTTATATTGTTATGTCTTCAAGTTCAGTAATCTTTTCTTCTAAAATATTTAATATGCCGTTAATCCTGTCCAGCATATTTTTCACCTAAGACATTGTAATTTTTATTTAAAAGTTTGATTTTGGTCTTTTCTATGTCTTTACTTAACCTTTTGAACTTATGGAATACAGTTACAGTAATGGTTTTCATGTTATTTTTATGTTATTTTATGCTACTTCTAGCATCTGTGTTAGTTCCAGGTTTTTTTAAAATTTTTATTTTGGAGAGGGGTCAGGCTAGAGTGCAGTGCCATCATCACAGCTCAATGCTTCCTCGACTTTCTGGGCTCAGATGATCCTTGCACCTCAGCCTTCTGAGTAGCTGGGACTACAGGCACATACCACCACATCCAGCTAATTTTTAAATTTTTTTCTAAAGATGAGGTCTCACTATGTTGCCTAGGCTGGTCTCAAACTCCTGGGCTCAAACAGTCCTCTCGCCTTGGCCTTCCAAAGTGCCACCTTTTAATTTAAATTGTAAATTTAGGCTCTTCACTCTCTCTCTCTCTCTCTCTCTTTCTCTCTCTCTCTCTCTCTCTCTCTCTCTCTCTCTCTCTCTCTCTCCCCAC